GATCTTATTTATTGGTGAAAATGTAAATAATAAAATTAAAAAGTAAAAAAAAAAAAAAATGAAAACCAACCCTGCCACCCCCACCATCTGCATACAAATAAACGCACGCGTAGGGCATTGTGTGTGCTGTCCCTATTCCACTGTGTGCCATATTGTGTTAGCCAGGCAGCAGAACTCTCTTACACGCACAATGTCGTAAGTTCACTTTCCCAGGTAATTTGGAAGATGGAATTACCCGCTCAAATCTGGCCCCGTCCCCCCATTATACTAGCATTTTGGCGTACAGTTCTTTCCCTTTGTCAGTACGGGTGTATTATCTGTACCCTGTACTGCTGTCCAGTGCAGCCCTGTGCTATGCATTTTGAATTTCGCTTGCGTATTACGAGCACTCGTTGGTCAGCGTGGTCAGGTGACCACGCTGACCAATGAGAAGCGTTTCTTAGTACGGTTAAATACGGTTTTGATTAAAACAATTTTTTGTATTGGGACAAGTAGATTGGGCCCCAGTTTAAGCCCTTGGGCAAGTAGTTTTTAGAAATGTCCACACCCCTGGGGTTGTAGCAGAACATAAACTTGCTGTTTCTGGGAACTGGGGATACAAAGTTGACTAGAAAGCTGCATCTTACGAAATGATTGTTTTCCATGGTGTGTGCTGTCATCTGGAGACGGCATACATTTTCCTCCCAGTGGAGTCATTGTTCTCTAGCAGTAAGTAAACAAATGTATGTAATACAAGATCAGGGTACACCTTTTCAAATCGGAATAGTTCAAGCAGCATGTAGTGGAAAAATAATCTGTAAGCAAAGTGACTGTCAGGGAAAACTGCCTTTCAAAACAATCGCCACTGCCCACCGTCTGAGCCTCCCTGTTGGTTATTTAGATTAATAGTACATTTTTTTACGGAATAGTCATACTTCAATCTTAGAGGAAGAGCCAATATTTGCTTAGAAATGCAGCGGACTATATCTCTGAATTCACTGCTTTTCTGGGTTTTTTTTAACCTGCTGTGTCCATTCTCTGCTTATTCGTTTTTCTTTTCTTCATATGCTCATTTAAATTAATCCGTTTTATGGCCGGTCTACTTAACTACTTGCTGACAGGTGTTAAATTTTTATTTGTAAAATATAAAAGACGGGGTCATATCAGGTAAATAGACACCAAACATGTCAAGCCTTAAACGTGCGCCCGGGCAACCTCAAAAAACTACAATACCCAAAATTGGCCGTAGGCGACGCTCTAAAACCTTTTACCGCTTATCAGTTTAGTGCTATCAGTGACTGAGGGCACTAAAATAATTGCTCTCACTGCGACGTTCGCAGGCGTATATAACGTGTAGCGCAATTGCCGTTTTCACACGCTGATGCACCTGACGTGTATTTACATTTATAAGTGCGTAAACGTGGGGGACTTGAACATTTTTGGTGGGGTGGGGTTAAAAAAATGTTTTTACACTTAATGTTATTGCTATCACATAGGGGGATAACAATCCCCCTATGTGATAGCACAGGCACACTGACAGGTCCTTTTTTATGGAGACATTAGGGGTCTTTGAAGACCAATAATGTCACCTGGGGGACCCCCAAAGAAAC